GCAGAGCGTCCAGGGAAAACTGGCTGGTGGGAAAAGCTGAACCACAATTGGAGACCACCCCGTTGGGGTTGGGATCTTACTCTTGGCAACCGAAAACCTTAACCAAATCCGGGTACTGTTCTCTGTGCAGGTAGATGTCTTCAGACAAAATCTTTTCCAGGAGGTAAGTCTTTACGAATTCAAGCAATCTGACCCAAACCTTGGAGTAGTATTTGTGCATCACAACCTCTTAGAGTAACCCCCAAACTAATCCTAGACTTGGTTCTTACTTCCCCTTACCAAGCTTTCACTCAACATAAGCTCTTATTTACTGATTTCTTCCTTTAGCCTGACCCCTCTTAAGGCTTTTCGCACTTCTGCTACTTTCTCTCCTATCTTTTGGAGAGTACGGAAGCCATGGCCCCAAAGCAGGAACCATGCTCTAAACTTGGTTCTGCTGCTTACTGGCTTGAGCAAGTCCCTACATTTCCAGGGCTTCAGTTTCCTCATTTATAAGCTTGGGACTCTGATTTCTAAGAGGCTGTACGGACTCACTTTTCACACATCTCGTCGTGCATCTTCTGATTCCCCACTCTTGCAATGTAACCCACAGGCTGAGGAATTCCTCTACAGATTTTTGCCACAGAAAATCATATACCTGAGTCAGCTCTTGCACGTGAGTAGTGTGGGTCCCTTCTGTCCCATCTATGACTGCCTTCTCCTCTGCTCACACTCTCAAGATAACAACTGGGTTCAGCATGCACAGATGCATGGTGGATTGAGAATGTTGGCATGGTATGAGCCTGAGCCTAGGTTGGGAGGCAGAGGGCAGACAGAATGCATGGAGGGAAGGCTGTGACTCAGGGTGCTTGGAAGGGGTTGGGTAGCTCTGACTGAGGTCTGTGCAGGAGGACTCCCTCAATGTGGCAGACTTGACCTCCCTCCGGGCTCCCCTGGACATCCCTATCCCAGACCCTCCACCAAAGGATGATGAGGTGAGGCACTCAAGGCTATAAACCCAATGAAAATGATAGTCCTTTAACCTCCATGGCTTTTCTAAAGTTACTTTCCCCCCTTCCCCCCTAGATGGAAACAGATAAGCAGGAGAAGAAAGAAGGTAATGGAAGAGGGGGATGGCTAGGGAAGGGGAAAGGGCACATTGACTACTTGATGAGAAAGGACTTGAATTCCCCCTTTCTCACAGTCCCTAAGTGTGGCTTTCTCCCTGGGAATGCGAAGGTCCTGGCTCTGCTTGCTCTGATTAAGCCAGAAGTATGGACTCTTAAAGAGAAGTGCATTCTGGTAAGCTGGGGAACTGGGGAAAGTGGGAAGAAAAGACAAGCAAGGCTTGGTCCTGGGAACCTTTAGGGATACAAGTCCTTCATTCAGAGACCTGATCTTCATCCAGGATACTTTTTGTGTCTTGGATTTAGAGCCTATTTTTCTCATTCTGTTGGACCTTGTATTATATATATTTTTTTAATTTTTTAAAAAATTTGAACCACATATTGTAACGGTACCCTTGGAATCAGAGACTATGCTATATCCACTTCTATAACTCTAGAACCTACTGCTGCACCATCTACACAGTGCAAATAATATAGCAAGTTAGTTTAAAAGCTTGGGCCCTACAGGGAAACTGAGTTCAAATCCTGATCCTATTATTTACCCAGCTGATATCCTTAAGTAAGTCACTTAGATATTCTATGACTCAGTTATTTTATCTGTTAAATTGGCACCATAAGAATATATACCTTGGATGTTTACCATGATGGCTAAAGGATAAATAATTCATAGCACAATGATGGGCACATAATCAATGCTCAGTTGTTAAAAGTGGCATATGGGCCGGGGATTTAGCTCAGTGGTGCTGCTGCCTGCCTTGCAAGTGCTAAGACCCAAGTTTGATCCTCGGTACCAAAAAAAAAAGGGAGTGAGGGAGTGGTATACACCGGGCGTGATGGTGCATGCCTGTCATCCCAGCACTCAAAAGGCTGAGGCAGGAGGATCGCTGTGAGTTCGAGACCAGCCTGGGCTACATGGTGAGTTCCAGTTCAGAGTCAACTACATAGTGAGACCCTGTCTCAAAAAACCAAAAGAAGAAGAAGAAGAAAAAATGTGTCATAATAGGAAGAACCTAGTAGGTTGAATGATTCCTTCTCTTAACATAGGTAATACTGGGCTACAGGGAGTTCCAGTTCAGTCTCAACTACATAGTGAGACCCTGTCTCAAAAAACCAAAAGAAGAAGAAGAAGAAAAAATGTGTCATAATAGGAAGAACCTAGTAGGTTGAATGATTCCTTCTCTTAACATAGGTAATTGCATGGATCCAGCATCTGATCCCCAAGATTGAGGATGGAAATGATTTTGGGGTAGCAATCCAGGTAGGGAAAAGCTGAATGAGGCTGGGTGGTGGTGGACATCTGTAACCCTAGCTACTCAGGAGGCAGGAGGAATCCATGTTCGACAAGACCCTCTCTCAAAAAAAAAAGTAAAAAGGCTAGACACACAGCTCAATGGTAGAATGCGTGCCTAGCATCCATGAGGCCTTGAGTTCAGTCCCCAGTTCCAGGGGGGGAGGTTAATGTGAACACTGAGTGGGGAGACTTGGGACTGTCAGGTGGCAAGCATGAACTATTAGGAGAGAGAGTGAGTGAAGGAAAGATGAGGTGTTTTCTTTGCCTCCTATGTCACCACAGGAGAAAGTTCTGGAAAGGGTGAATGCAGTCAAGACCAAAGTGGAAGCCTTCCAGACAACCATTTCCGTGTGAGGGCGCTGGAAGATCTACATGGGGGGCTGCCGGGATGCTTCTTTGGTGCTCCCAAAGCTAGATAGTCCCATCAGGATGATGGAGACACTGAGAAAATGTGTGCATTCTGATCCTCTCCCTGAACACACATTCCTCTGGTACCCCTTGCTCTGGCAGGTACTTCTCAGAACGTGGGGACGCTGTGGCGAAGGCCTCCAAGGAGACCCATGTAGTAAGTGCATAGTCCCAAGCCTCTTAGCTGAGGCTGTTGAGGGGTGGGACTAGGGCAGGGCGAGGAAAGAGGTTCTTTTTATCTTATTCATGACTTTTTCAGTATGTAGAATATTAATCCAAAAGTATAGCCTACTTTAAAAAAAGAACAACCCACAACAAGAAAGAAAAAGAAAAACATATAGATGTGGTGGTGCACACCTGTAATCTCAGCACTCAAGAGGCCAAGGCAAGTTGATCACTGGAGTTCTAAGCCAGCCTGGGCTACATAGTGAGACCCTGTCTCAAAAATAAAAAAACTAACAATGAAAAATAGAAAAAAATACATGAAAAGTAAAGTTGCCTAGAAAAGTTGATCTGGACTTCAACAATCTTGACACACCTTTCCCTGCTTGAGCCTATGGGATCCTGTTTCTTCTGCTGAAAAGGAGCTTATCTTCAACTTACCTATTCCCTGCATGAAGGAACCAGACTAATGTGCCAGCCTCCCACGGGGCTGACTCAGCTTTGCCTCCCACATCCCAGATGGATTACCGGGCCTTGGTGCATGAGAGAGATGAGGCAGCCTATGGGAATCTCAGGGCCATGGTGCTGGACCTGAGGGCCTTCTATGTGAGTGTGGAATAAGCCTTAATGGAGATGGGTAGAGGGGCTTGGGAAGACCAAGAACGTAACTCCTGCTCTTCTTGCCTTCCTCTAGGCAGAGCTTTATCATATCATCAGTAGCAACCTGGAGAAAATTGTCAACCCAAAGGGTGAGGAGAAGCCATCTATGTATTGAGCCCAAGACTAGAAGGAAAATAAAGGATGTGTTCCTTGTGTGGATTACCTCTGGTGTGTGTCACTGATGATAGCATTATTGAGTGCCATATATGTCCAGACCCTGAGGCGAATGTGATAGGGGAATGTGAAGAGATGCTGATTGTATAATCCTCCAGCCTTTTAACTGAGGCCAGCAAGGGGCCGGATAATCCACATTTGGGGATTTCACAAGGTCATTTCCATCTGGTACTCTCATGGTCAAGGTGACATTTGGGACAGTTTATAGGTGTGATCAAGAGAGACAAAGGGAGGCTCTGTGGCTGAGGTCCACAGAGCTGTATCAGTTTGATTAAGCCTGAGGGAGAATAAGATTCCCTGGGAAGACTTGAGTGTGGAGGCAGAAGCTTTGTAAAATTTGAACTCAGACTGGGCAACTTAGAACCTGTCTCAAAAATAAAAAGGGTTGGCGATATAGCGTTTAATTCCCAGCACCAAAAGAAATAAATGAATAAAATAAAGGTGAACGGTTGGACTCCTCAAGGGCTGGCAAGGGGGAGAAAGTCCTTCAAAAGCATTATGGTGGGGCAAATTACCACAGCACATTAAGGATGATTTCTAGTTTTTTTTGTTTGCTTTTTTGACTCTTGCCCTCATGCAGCGTGTGTCTTTATATTTGCCTGTCAGATTCTGCTCTGAGAGTGGTAGAGGCAAGGGTTCCTCTGCTGAGATTTTTGCTATAACTTCATGGAATTAATTGCTCTTTAACTTGGGGACTTGTCCCATTTTAAAATATGGGATAAGAATGTACTGCACAACTCTTGGCAGTTTGGGAGTCTGTGCCCACATATCTCATTTAACAGGCAGCAGATATTACCTCAAGGAAACCAAGTGCCAGATAATCTGCAGTTGGGAAGGTAAACGGCTTAGTCAGTGACAGCTGGTCTAGAGTGTCGATCCATTCATTCTAAATAATGTCAGCAGGGTGGCCCACTCTGTCCCCACCTTCAAAGGTCTACTGGTACGGGCCGGCTGGCTCTCCCAGGGGCCTGTGGGGAACGGGCAGCGCCGATAAGCAGAAAAGCCACCTGGCAATCAAGAGCAGAAATCGGCCTAGCCAAGAAGCACGCGATTTTCTTTCCTTACAATCGTGGGTTAGCTCCAGTTCGCTTGAAATAAAGGCGGGGTCAGATTTGGCTGCGGTTGCTGATTGAACACAATGAGAACTTCTAGGCCTATCAAACAGTACCACGTGGGCGGAGCTGCAGCGGGGGGCGGGGAGGGTACAGCCAGGAGCAGGCGCAGATCTATTCCGCCGGGCTAAGGATCGGGTGCGAGGGAAGGGGCTAGGCTGGCTGTTGCGGGATGCCCTGAAGACTGGATGGGCCGAGCTGGGCGCAAGCTCTGGACAGAGGTGGTACGGAGCAGTCATCGTGGAACCTAAGTTAGGAGTCACGGGAGAGGCCGAGCTCGATTGCGTGGGGGTTGGGAACCGCAGTCAACGGGTTTGCGGCGACCCCCGCAGGCCCTGCTCGCCATGGGGGAGGTGGAGATCTCCGCCAGGGCCTACGTGAAGATGTGCCTGCACGCAGCCCGGTACCCGCACGCTGCGGTCAACGGGCTGCTGCTGGCGCCAGTGCCGCGGTCCCAAGAATGCCTGTGCCTCACCGACTGTGTGCCCCTCTTCCACAGTCACCTGGCCTTGTCAGTCATGCTGGAGGTCGCCCTCAACCAGGTGCTTCGGTGGACGTAAACCCGTATCGCGAGCCCCCTAACTCCCCTAGCCCAAGTTCGTGCCAAACCCACAGAGCTGGCGGCGCGGTTGTTACTGATGGCCCCTTTCCCGTGACAGGTGGATGTGTGGGGCGCGCAAGCCGGTCTTGTGGTGGCTGGGTACTACCATGCTAATGCAGCTCTGGATGACCAGAGGTGAGTGGGACAGCCAAAGGCAGAAGGCCGAGGGACTGTGGTGGGGGCAGGCTGGGTTGCAGATAAACCAAGGTCGTTCTTTCTGTCTTGGTCAAAAGCTTAGGAGCAGGGTCGGTACCCGAGGCACTATGTTGGGCACTGGAGTGAGAAAATAAAGGGATGAACAAGGCAGTCTCCTCCTGGGAGGAGCTGTGGTAGGGGTGGGAATGGAAAACATGTTTTGACGAGGATGAGATAGATGATCTTGCTTTAATTGGCGCCCCCCAACTAGCAATTTAAAAATTACTTTATATATGATGTGTATATCATATAGAGAGATCGAGTTAAAAATACTTTATAGTTTTGTAATTTGGTTTACCCCCTTGCTTAATAAATATTTGAAGATTAGCCTGGTGGTGCAGGCCTGTAATCTCAGCACTTTGGGAGGAGGCTGAGGCAGGAGGTTTGAACATTTGAGCCCAGTGTGGGTGATTTAGAGACTTAGTAAGACCCTATCTTAAAATACAAAATAAAAAGTGGGCTGAGGATGTAGCCCAGTGCAGAGGCCCTGGTTCAATCCCTAGCACTGCAAAAATAATTAGATAAATATTTTATATCTTTCCAGCTCCACACCAAAATCTACCTTAATGGGTATATGGTATGACTATGAATAGATTATAATTTATTTGATATCTTACACTAAATGTTGAGTTGGTCTCCAGTTTTTTACTATCCCATTACAGTAAATTCTTCATTAAATGTAATTTCTTTCTTTTTTTGGTACTGGGGATTGAACTTGGGACCTTGAGCTTGCAAGACAGGCAGTGGGACCACTGAGCTAAATCACTGGCCCATAAATGGAATTTCTTATTTAGCATATGTATAGTATAGTTTCACTTTGGATGGTTATGCCAAATTACCCTCCAAAAAGACCACCTTTGATTTCCAGTCTCACCAGCAGTGTCTGAGCACCTGTTTCCCATAGCACACAAGCATCAAGCAATCGTGCATCAAGCATCAAGGGGGCCCAACCCCCAGGCCAGCCACAGGGAAAGACCACGACTGCGCCTACCTCCATGAGATCTGGGAGGGTCTGTCCACAGTCGGATCCTCACTCCTCTGATCTTCCCTCTACACAGCCCTGGGCCCCTGGCCTTGAAAATTGCTGGGCGAATTGCAGAATTCTTCCCTGATGCAGCACTTATTATGGTGAGGCTTGCGTTTCAAGGTGGGGAGGTGGAGTAAAGAAAGGAGGAGGATCTTTGAAACTTTCACCTGCCTCTTTTTCTTCACCTAGCTAGATAATAAGAAACTGGTGCCTCAGCCTCGTGTGCCTCCAGTTATTGTCCTGGAGAACCAAGGTCTCCGCTGGGTCCCCAAAGACAAGAACTTGTGAGTGCACCATTCCCTCTACCTGGTTGTGGAAGCCCCTGGCTCCTGGACCTTGCCTGTCCTTGGACCTGCCCCATCCCAACCCCTGCTAAGTCTGTTTGGCCCCACTGCCCACTGTTTGGCCTCCACAGGTCTTCCTTCTATTCTTCTTCCCTCCTCTCTCCCTGCCTCCATCCTACAACTCCCTCCTTCCCTACCTCCTCTCTTCTTTCTTTCTTTCGTACTGGGAATGAATCTAGGGGGCACTGAGCTACATCTCCAGCTCTTTTTAATTTTGATGCAGGATCTCACTTACTTGGCTGGCCGCAAACTTGTAATCATCCTGCCTTTGCCTCCTGAGTAGCTGGGATTATGGGTGTGCAAAAGCATACCCAACTTCCACAGAGTTCTCTATTTCAGAGTGATGTGGAGGGACTGGGATGAGTCACGGCACATGGTGGGAACACTACTGGAGGGCCGGGCCCACCAGCACCTTGTGGACTTTGACTGCCACCTTGATGACATCCGACAGGACTGGACCAACCAGCAGCTCAACAGCCAAATCACCCAGTGGGTTGGTTCCACCAATGGAAATGCCTGAGCTAGGGTCAGGGAGGCCAGATCCAATAAAGAGACTTGGGCTGGCGGGCAACCGTATGACTGTATTTATTGTGCTTAGGAGACAAAGTGAGGGAGAATCTTCAATAGAAGGAAGGTAAGGCAAAGTCTGGGACCCCAGTAAAAAGAATGTCGGTTTCTGCTGTACCCATCACAGTGACAGAGGAGGCACTCAATAGATCATTCCCTTTGTTTCTCCCCGGGGCTTCTTGAGCTTCTCGAAGTTCTTCAGGATGATGTCATATAACACAGCCTACAGAAACAGGGTGGAGTAGGGGTCAGCCACAGGCCTGCAGGGTTATCAGCCCCATTTCTAGCTTTGTGGCAAGGCTAGGCTTTGTCATCCTTTGCCTGAAGCCTTCAGGGTCAGGGAGCAGGTGGTCTGGGATAGGTGCCTTAGCCCACCTCTGCCCTGCCCTGGCCTTCTCACATAAGCATTTCGGATCTCCATGACCATCAGCCGGATGTCCCGATACTCTGCCTCATCCAGCTCATGCACCAGCTGCCGATAATCACCCTGCGGAAACTCAGGGTCAGTCATGACTTGAAATGTGTCCTTCCCCTGTAAACCCTGACCTGGGTCTCACCTACCACGTGGGGCTGCTTGGCTGCTTTGGTTACTGCATCGCCACGCTCAGAGAAATACCTGTGGAAAGTGGAAGCAGTGTGTACGAAGTGGGAGAAGGAAGAGCGAGCCCAGGCCTCTGTTCCCAAACAGGCCAGAGTGTGCATGGGGGTGCAGGCGGCTAGTTACTCACTTAGAGATCTGAGTGTGGAAGCCTTCTAGCTTTGTGTGGAGGCTGGTCATCAGTTCAAACACCTTCTCCTGGGGAAGAAAGTATGGAGGAAGGGGTAGGAGGAGTAGAAGGAAGCATGGGCTACACAGCAGTGCAGGGGAGTAGGGGGCAGTGCTCCTACCTGGACAGCCACCCCAAAATTATTTCCATCCTCAATCCGAGGTATCTGTAGCTGCAACCAGGTAGTGACCTGGGGGAAAAGCATGGCATCAAAACCACATCAACTGATTCCCATGTTCCTGCTGTCCCTTGTACCCTGCCCATGCAGGATGGAGGGATGCCAGTTCATCTTGAGCCCCAGGGCCTGGACTGCTAGCTTCACTTGCTGCGCGCCCTCCTGCTAAGACCTGGCAAGTACCATGCCCTAACTGGAGGCGACCAAGTGGACAAAGGATTTGACCTGAAGCCTGGGGGTGGAAGTAGGAGGGCTCACCAAATTGAGCTGCTCGATGACATCCTTGATCTCAGGTTTCAGGCGCTGCAGGAGGGCCACGATCTTCTCATTACAGTTCACTGGGCCACAGGGAGGACCTAGAGAGTAGGCAGTGGATCAGTTCTACAAATGAACCTATGTCAAGGGAGGGAGAGTGGAAAAGAATGTTTAGGGCCAGGGTGGGACCCACGCCACCCCCACCCATTAGTTTCAAGTACCTTTGTCTTCATCTTCCCCTTTCTTCTTTTCATCCTTGTTTTCCTTCTGCAGGGGAGAGAGGGCTTATGAGACAGGACTAAAGCTGATTTTTCCCATAGTGAGCCCTTCCTCCCAGGTCCTGCCTTGCCTCCTGTTGTTTCTTTCGCTCCTCCTTCTCTTTCTCTTTGGCTGGATCAGGTATTGGAATGTCCAATGGGGCCTTCAGATTATTCAGGTTGGCTTCATTGAGAGCTGGCTCCTGGTATAAGGCGAACAGAGGGAGGCTGGAAATGAGGGCGTCCCTCTCATCTCCTCACTCTCATGGACCCTGCACTCTTCCCCTGCCCTCCAGCTTCCAGCCCTGCCTCTGATACCTTTAAAAATGCATCCAGCTCAGAAATCTTCTTGGGGAAATAGCTCCCAAGCAGGTTCTCTGCCTGAAGTAGAGATTGAAGAGGCCCAGAATCAGAATCACACTTTTCCTAGGCAGTGAGGCCAGGCTGACACTGCCCCGTGGGGAAGGCTGAGCAGCGGGAGTTGGGTAAGGGTAGGGGGTGCTGACGCAGCTCTTACCTTGGTGCACAGATCTTCACGAAACACATCCACCTGTGGGGCACAGGCAATCCTTCAGAAACCTGGCTCTAGGCCAGTTCATTTGAGAATAGTTTCCTTAGGGTTGTATAGGGCCTGACCCAGGGAGGGAGAAGTGGGTCCATCTAAGGCCACACCTAAAGAAGGTGAGATGAGTCCCTGTGAGGGTGACTGGGTGGTGGAAACTGGAATCTGGGGCTTATAGAGTGGATCCTGTCGGGGCTGGGGCTGGGTTTAAGAATATTCCTGGTGGTGAATGGGGCGTGGCCCATGTGAATACATCCCTGGGGTCTCCCGGGCTTGTGTGAGGTGGGTTGTTGAGAGCCCTTTGCGTGTGCCCTGTAAAGTGGGCCTCAGGTACCCCACCTAAGCGAGAAATCAGGATGCGTCAGGGGAAGTCCGGCCCCAGCTCTGTGTGGGGCCCGTGGCCAGCGTGGTTCCCCTTCACGCCAGCTCCTTGCTCCACCTCACCCCGCTGAACCAAGGCGGCCTCGCCTCTGGCCCCGAGGCACAGGTGCTCAGGGCACCCTGGACTCCGTGGATGGACCCGGACCAGGTCGGGGGCTGGTCGGGAAATCCCTCAGCCCCTCGGAGCCACACCCCCCGGCGGGCCCCTACTCTAATCCGCGGGGCTTACCTTGGCTTGGGCTTCAGGCTGGACCCTGAGGGTGGCCATGGCGGGGCAGGGGGCCCAGCGCCGCACGAGGAGCCAGGAGTGGGCACGGGGAAGGGAAAGCGAAAGCAGCACTCCTAAACTACCCGCTGGGTCTTCCTGGGTAGCGGGGAGTGGA